TGATGTCTCCTTCACCTTTGACTCATTTTCTTAGAAAAATCACACGCGTTTATGAGACATTTTTTAATATTCATATTATATTATGTATAGGTACATATATCAATGTGAATTATAAGACATGTTTGTTTAGAAAACTATTTTAACTAACTTTAAATAAATATTTTTTAATTAGATATAAGTATCTACATTTTACAGTGAGCAAATTTTCGAAATTTCGTCCCAATAACCGATACCTACAACATCAAATTCGTTATTAAAGGTGAATATTACTTCTACTGCCAATTAATTCTAAAGACTCTTAAATGCAATTGTAGTTTTCAGTCTTTTTGCATGGATTTTAACTAATAATAAACAGACGACGAGACGTGCCATTGACCGTGGTGTGTCGTTAACAGCACAATTTTCATCGCTTCTTTTTAAAAAGCGCTAAAATTCAAGCTTTTTACTAACAAAACTGACATCCGTCCGGTCTGTATGGCATTGCACAAAAGATTATAATAGATTGTGTTCACGCCTTTGTGTAAAAGCGACTGTTACATGTGCGAGTGTATGTAAATGACAACAAATTGCAAAATCTATACAAGACAGTCAACGAACTTTTCCCTATACTCACACAATGACTCACCGCATTTACGTAATTTTATAAACGGCATTTCTTTTGGCTTTCAAAAGTTACATCATTAACAGTTAATTTCCCTAAATGATTTTGACAACCAAAAGAACAAATAGTAGAATCCATCTGTACACCTAGAAAGCACTAAATTGAAGTGCAATTACTTTTTGAAACAAATTCCTTATTAAGGAATGGACAACTCCTCAAGCTTTAGAATAAAAACTTTTGTTATCTTACAATAAACGATTCCTAGATATTGTCATGAACAAAAATAGTAATGTTAATGATAATAATTTATACTCTGTGCCTGTGACTAACAAAAGAACTAATTGTTGAATTCGTTCACTTCAGTTCTGCTTCTAATTAAATAAGAGCAAAAGAAGTTGTAGCAGCAGATGTTCAAACTAAAACAAATTTTGTACTTCCAACAGCAGATGCGTCTGAAATCTGCCGCCCATCTCTAACAACCACCTTTACCTGTAAATCTCGATATTTCATCCCCTGCCCGAAGGCAGCTGTTTATTAAAGTGCAAAGCCACCTGTTACTAGAAAAACTACTTTTGAAAGCTGCAATTTACAACATTTCGCAGAAGAAGCTTCTGATTTTATTACTGGTGTAAAAGCCAACATGAGCTTTCAATCGACTCTCCTTGAAGTTTAATATAAAATAAAAGCTCGTGAATTCGTTTAAGATTTAGTTAAAAATAAAATAATTTTTCTGTTGCTTAGAAGTGTTTCAAAACACACTAGCTACTTTTTAATCGCAATTTTAAAATGATTTTGGTAGGTAAACAAAAGCGACCGCAAAATCCTCATTTTCAAAACGCCAACGGGTTTCGCTTTGTTTAACAGACGATAAGCAATTATATCGCATTGAGTTAATATTGAAAGCAAATCCTTTTACGTCTGTGTTGTATAATTGTCGTAAGTAGAGCATAGCATTTCTGCATAATTTAAAAACCTTGACACGTTCTTTATTTAACAAGATAAAAGAAGGATTGTCTGTCTAATGACACATTAGGTCGATCACTGATTTAAACAAACTGTTCTCATATTTCACTTATTTTGATACGTATTAATCGTTACACCATTCAAAAGATACCGATTTACTGTTTGCTCTAGAAACAGCTTTTTTACACTCATTTATATTCCAGGCATTCGTACAAAAGAAAGCAAAAACGGTAAACTCCGAATTATGTCTAAAAATTTTCATACAAGTTAAAAAAAATTATATCTACAATTAACTGTGACGTTCCTTTGGAACAGTTCCACTGAATGTTTAATGTCTGCAATCTATTTTAATAACAACAAAACCATTCTGTTTA